CATATGACCTAAAAGAACATACAAAAAGGAAGAACAACAAAAACAAACTAGAGCCAGGAGCTGAAACACATTAGCAGGAGGGCAACACTCTGTACTAGCCTTTCACTATTTACCCACGCTATTTCAGCTAACAATAAATCCAAAGTATAAAATTTTCAAAGACCTGGCATAAAACCTGCTTTCTAACCCTTCCAGTCCCTGGAAATGGGCTCTATAAAGGTCACCAGGTCCATTCCAATTCTGATGCAGTCTTTACCCTCCTTGATTTCTCCACGCTTCTGTAATACTACACTTTCCTGACTTTGTTCTTACCTTTGGGAAAGTTCTTGTCACTTTTCCACAGAATTTTTATTCATCTCATTTGCATTCTGCAATATGAAAAAATACCTTTCCTATTTGTCTAAACACTGGGCACAATAAATGACAGATGACAAACTAGGGTAGGAATCTTCACATGATGAATTTATGAGAGCCCAAGAAACACAGCTACTGTAACTCCATCAGCTTCATCCCAACCCACAGGTTCTCCCCTGTCACCAACCATCACATGGATAACTTCACACATGCATACACATTAACAAAATACCCTGGGGTAAGGCAACTTAAAAAGGGTTAATTTAGCTCACAGTCTTATTTACTGGAGAACCTGAAGCATGGTGCCAGCACCCTGGTGTGGGCCTCTGGCCATCACAACAGGTCAAAGTAGCGGTCCACAAGCTTAAGGAGCTTGTACAAACAGAAGAGAGCGGACAGGGAAGGGCTAGGCTTGGGAACAACCCACTGCAATATGAATGCCTACAAAATCTACAATGTTCCAGAACCCTGGCATTAATCCATTATAAAAGTGGAACCCTATTACTTAAACTTTCCACCCTCAGAATCACAGTACCAAAGGCCAAGTCTCCTGACAAGAACCTCTAGGAGACAAACTATGATCAGAATACAGCAGTGACCAAAGCCACGATTTTAGAGTGTTGATTCTCTCTCCCTGTGACCAGCAGGCACCTAAACCTACTGATTTCTTGATTCTCCTATTTCTATACCTCAGGTCGAGGCAATAATTTAGGTCCATTAATTTTTTGGACTAAAACGGCCCAATTTGCTTGCCTAAGTCCAACTTCAGGCCTTTCCAATCGATCCTCCAGACTGTACATAAGTCTAAACTGAAGTGCAACTACCCACTAACATAAGCTTTTTTAACCTCACAGATGTTGCCCTGAGCTACACTACTGAGCTATAAACTGTATGTCTGATAACTGTGAGAATAACTGAAGCACGTGTCTCCTCTGTGTGTCTGGGGATCTAGAGGACAGTCAGACAGTCCCAAGGCATATGAAGCAAGTGTCTCCTCTGTGTGTCTGGGGATCTGGAGTACAGTCACACAGTCCCAAGCCTATGCCTATAAAGCACAATAACTTACTAACTATCTTACTACCCAAGATAATTTATGAGGAATTCAAGACGGTGGATCTGACACAGAATTGACCGCTCCAAAAATAAATAAATAAATAAATAAATAAATAAATAGGAAGCTTCTATTTCTATTTTTCAAAGTACCAAGTCTGAGAAAGCAGAAGAAGGCAGTGAAAGAACTGTGTCTTTCCAAGGTAGTGCCATGCTGTTAAGTTAAACTCGGAAATGGACTTGTCCCAAACAGTAATTATTGTAAGGAATATGCAAAATTTATCATAGGTCATATTAACACCGGGTTATTTGCACTTCATTTCTAAAACATTTATATTACAGCATTAAACAACGAAACATAAAGAATTTAGTCTAATGTAGAACTGAACAGAAGCAAGCTCCCTAAGTTCCCTAAATATGCTTTGCATTCACAACCTAATGTAGCGCATCCCAGGATAAATCCAACTAAATTTTAGAAATGATCTTGTCTTAAATTTTTAATATTTATTTTCTCTATCTTCCCTCTCCTTGCCGCGCATGTGCACACACACACACACACACACACACACCCTCTTCTCCCACCTCTATGTGGGTCCTGGCAATGGAACTCAGATCGTCAGACTTGGTAGCAGGATTTTTACCTGCTCAGCCATCTCACTCACCCAAAATTACCACCTTGTCACCATTGTCTCCTTAAAATGTTCAAAGCCAACTCTGAAACTTTGAGGTATCTTTGAAAGTGTGTGTGTGTGTGTGTGTGTGTGTGCGCGCGCGCGCACACTCACACGCACACAAAATATTTTACATGTAAAGCTAAGACTTCGTCTTTTCATTCTAAACTGTGTTGTCCAACAGGGTAAGCACGAAGCACACGTAGCCACACATTAGCCACATGTGTGGCTATAGCTAACAATTACACCACAGCACACTCCACTGTGAAAACACTGCCATCATTTCACCACACGCCAGTTGGTCACTTTCACACTACTGTGAGCTACCTGCCCCCATTAGCTCCAGAGACATCTTCAGTAATCTACTTGGTATTTCAATTATTTTATCACCTTGAGAGATGGGGATACCTACAGATAATTATAGCAGTGCCAAGAAAAATCAATAAAGAACAAGAAACCAAGAATGCAATCAATTTGGGGGGGGAGGGGGTATTGGTTAAGAAAAAAATTTGAGAAAAGCAGAGACAAGTACAAGAGCTGCAGTGCGTGTGAACCCAGAGTCAATGCCCATTCCATCCTACTTGCCCGCTGGAACGTAATTAAACCCACTCTGCAAAGGTCCTCCAAGCAGTCTTTCCAATCACACTTGAAAATACCCATTAGCAACAAGCTCTTTAATATAGAAGACATACGTCAAGGTCACAGTTTATGGTTGGTCAATCCTGTTTAAAACCTTACTTCACTGACTATATCCCCAGTTTTAATTTTTTTTTAAACTTAAAAAAAAATGAGTAATATACTTTAGCCAAGCTAAATCTCATATAGAGACTCCTGTTAGCTACATTTCCCAGTAGCTTTCTTTATACAGTACTATCACTAAAAACAACAGCATTCAGCTAACTACACCACAAATATGTTTTCTGACTATAATAATAGTGCTACTCCCAAAGGGAGTCTGCTTTTCAAATTCTAACAACTCCCACTGTAGTTACCTAAAACTCAGATCAAGGCAAGACCAGGCACCACAAACTTCACACAGAATGTCAGAAAACAATAAAAATGAAAGGCACCTCAAACTTGTGTTACATGAATTTATTAAATAACATTTATTACCACTATAAACTTCTAGAATCAGGTGGCTAGTGAATCAAGCATCAAGTGTTTATTTAACAGGCTATTATGTGCAAGGTTTGGGGCTACTGTACAAACAAAACCAACCAGAGTCCCTGCTCCCAAAGAGCTTACAGTCTAGCTGAAGCACAGGCACAAATGCAAGGGCCAAGCACAGCAGTCACCAGGGAGGAAGGGACAGGATTCCCAGAGATGCAGGCAATGGAGCAGAGCCTCAGCTGAGGAGTTCGCCAGATGGAGGGGGAGGGGAAGCACATTCCAAGCAGAGGGAGCTGCACAGAAGCAAGCAGGTCCTGAAAGCACATGCCATGCTGTGGTGATGAGCGTCCAGAGCAACTAGAGCAGAGAGATGCACACAAACTAGAGACGAATTAGAATTTGGTTTTTAATGAACCACAACTGTCAGAGGGTAAAGCTTTAAACTGCATTAAATGAGGCTAAAATGTGACTCTGGGAACAAGAGGAAAATTTATAAGCATTCTCGTCATTTCATAAACAGTTAGGTCCTTCTGTAGGTACACAAGCGTTACTGTGCTAGAGTTTAAAGGGGCAGTTTTAGAAAATCTAAACTGTCGTGTATACACACGTACACTAGTGTGTGTATATGCTTGAGAAAAGGAAAAGGGCTTGCGTCAGAAAGCTTCCTAAACTGAACACTATGCTAAGCAGGGTAGCGTGCTGCTCAGAAAGCTGGCTGCAGTTTAGGGAAGGAAAGGACAATTTAGGAGGGGGGGAAAAGGAAATAGCAGAGGTCAATATTTTGCTAAATGTTTTTATGTAAACCCCCACTTCATTTTCACAATAACGCTATGGGAGAAGTTTCGTTACCCTCTCCAAAAGGTCTCAGGCCTCAACCTCCGAAAGTTGTTTATCTGTATCAGATATTACACTATGATAGATTGTACCAGCTAACACAGAGCACAGCCAGCTCACCAAGCCCATGCCTGCCGGAGTGCAATGTCTGGTTCCTGTCTGAATGCTGCACTCCTGGGGGTCCGGCAGGGTTACGTCAGTCAAATCCTATGCATGAAATGACTTTGCTTTCACTCTATTGTACAAGACTGTCCTGAGAAAGTGGAGATGGTGACGCACAGACACACGCTCCTAAAATACATAGGATGAACACCTTTAACAACTGATAACAAAGTCATTAAAACCACTGGTTTAGGCATCAGTAGTGGTGATGTCCTCCTCAACTCCCGACTCAGCACTAAGGGTAGTCACTACTTAGAGGAACCATGTAATGAGTTGTCTGTGGGTCATACACGGCCAGTTGTTCTTGGAAGAATAGAACCTTTTTTTTAAGACACTAAAGCTTTAATCAAATTAAATTAATATATCCAAATATGACTTGTTTATACTGCTATATAATAATCAACCAAGCAGTTCCAGAGAATTAAGGGCTAGGGAAACAAATCTCTGAGGATGAAAACAGTAATGTCTGAGCCGACATCGTCAACATCAAAGTCATAGTCACACTGCCCTCCTGAGACTCTGAACTTCAAATTACTATGCAGTTACACATGATGCAGTAATGTTGCCTCTTTTTAGGAAACAGAAGAAATATGCTTTTAAAAAACCACAATGTATATAGTACAGGCTGGTAGTCTATCGACACACTGAAACGTTGTTTTCTACTGTGTACAATCACACTTTCTCTGTTCAAGCACTTCCAAATACAGAAAAATACATCCCACTTGTAAGTTTTAAAATACTCTGGAAATCTCGATGGCACAGGAAACACGTCTGGAGAGCTTGGGAAGTGCACGTCTATGCTAGAGTACAGTCACCAACCTTGTTCTGATTCAGAGGATCATTCCGTAGTCTCTGCTTGTTCTTCTGTAATTTACTAGGCATCATCTTGCCAGTTCTGAAGTCAAAACTGCTGAGGTCAACGGCATTTCCCAGATACCTTGCCAGCTGAGGTTTACTTCTGAACTTCTTACCACTCGGACTAGAAGAAAAAAAAAGTTTATTTGTACAAAAGGAAATATTAATAGCCTCTATATAGCCCTTTTAAAATGCATTCCTACATAACCTTTTTTAACAGTAATTTCTGTTCCTGATTGTTACAAATTACAATTACATGTGTTGGGTTTCATTTTGGAATTACTACAAGTCTTGAAGAAACTTCTTACTTTCTGCAGAAAGAGAAAGTGTATCATTCAATACAGCTCTCCCTGGTGCACACTGGAGCACACTGCACATGCTGCTACAGATTACACAGCTAACTGCCTGAGAGCTGAGCACAGTCCATGCAGCACACTCCCTACAAGAGTCTGCATTCCCACCAACTTCTTTCCAAACTGTCTTTTGAAAACACTGGTTTATGCACAATGTCAAGAGCTCAGAAACTGTTAAAGTCAGTAGCTACTTTAAAACATGAATTTGGACTCCACATAATCTGGCATAAACTTATAGTATCTATAACAGAAAAAAAGAAATTATGATGTGTAAATGCTTCTACTAAAACTACAACTAAAAAGAAAAACAAGAACATCTGTGAACCTATGTATACAATTCTGACATGACTTTGGTTTGACAAACTGTCTAAAATAAGCACATCAAGTGAGCAGGTTATATTTAGGGATATAAATGTATATATGCATGCAATAATAACTAATGAAAAAAGAGCCATGGATTTGAAGGAGAGCTGAGAGGAATATATGGAAGGATTTGGAAGGAGGAAAGGGGAGATATGTTGCAGTTATAATATAATCTCAAAAGTAAAACTTTAAAAAGCACAGAGATCTAAAGAGAAAAAAATTAAGTAAAATAAGCCTATAAAAATTATTTCTTTTTAGCCAGGTGTGATGGCACAGGTCTGGCCTGTAATCCCAGCACTTAAGATGGAGGCAAAACGTCAGCTTCACTACAAGGGTACTTCTAGTCTAGCCAGGGCTATGAGACCTTGCCTCAAAAAAACCAATAAATAAGTAATTTACTTCTTATAAACAAGAACCGCCAAAGATGGAAAACTGTAAAAGTGCCAGAACTGCAGAAAACAGACTCCCTAAAAAGGAGTTCTGTGTCATTAATCTGTAAGAAATTGCTTTTTAGGGACAATATCCCTAAAGTCTTATCTAAAAACTTTTATAAACCAAATAGCTAGAACAAACTGTGACTGTTTCTGCAGAAGAAACCCCTTAGAACTTCAGAAAGCATTTCAGAGGCTGGCATGCCACACCTAGAATTTAACCTTGCACTAACTAGTCAAAATAAGTAAAACACAATTCAACAAACAAAGAACTTTAAAACACTGGGGAACAAAACAATACAACATTACGCTGAACTGAACTAACTTCAGGCTCAGGTCTAATAAACAAAGCATGTCATCTGTCACATTGCATGATATTCTGTCAACACAGACTCCGGATGGCTGGAAGACCTATTAACCTTTGTTGTTCACAATCCCATGACTTAAGTATTCTTGGAACACAATTCAAAGTTTACAAAATTCAACTAACGATGAAGATTACAACCAACACCAACCAGACCATAAGAGTAAGTAAAGTAGCCAAAACCAAAATCCAGTCTGGGAAAGAAGATATGATCACACACAGACTATCTCAAATCCAAATGCATTTTACACTGGAAAACAGGCATAGCACCACAAGCAAAGCCATCAGGGTACTTTCAACACTGCCTCAAGCTCGATCATCACTATCAACCACATGCTTCCAATCTTTGCCAGTGGCTCACTGCCCATGTAGCATCTACTCCTCCAAGCTGGATGAACACTAACAACCCTCATCTCCCATATTCCTCCGCCACCCATCCAGCACCAAATTCAAATTCTCAGATTCCCCAGCAGTGACAAAATGCCTTCCCCTCCTTAGTACATCATCAAAAGAACTCAATCAAATTTACTATTTGCAGACTTTATCCTGTCGACATTGGTATCCTAATGTCACTGAAGTATGCCATGTACCTTTGATTCCAAAGGTATAATCTATCTATCTTTCCAGATGGGATGAACCTGTCAATGAGATATTATGTCCCTCAAGCCCACCTAAATCGTCATGTGCATTGTTATTCTCCAGTCCAAACGAAAAACAATTGCAGTCCTCTGAAATTTTATTTCATTACAATTCCTGTATGTTTCCTTGATTCCAATATATTTCCAACAATCAAATAATATAAACCTCTTTTGATAAACTCTCAAAAGTCATTATACAAAGGCAACCATTGAACAAAGTAACTGAGAGCAAGAAGCCTATCAATTGAGTAACAAAGAATGTAGTTTTCTTTTGCAGGCATGCTGGGATGAATCATATACTTAAAATTAAAAATAAAAATCTCACCTTTAGTCAGTTTTACTACATAAATCTTACTAAATCACTCAAATTAATCTGAAAAAATTATAATTATTGTATTTATCAGCCATTTATATGATTATGGTTTTAATTAAGCTTGAATACCCATGAAGCCCTTGTTATCAAATAGTCATGTGACTGAAAAAGAACATCCTGATAAACTATCTTTAACACGTAGTGAATAAGGGAATGAAGTGGGGAGAAAGAGAGAGAGAGAAGGAAGCTAAGCCAGTAATGCATGCTGTGATCTCAGCTACCTAGAGGCTGAAGCAAGAGAGAGTTCAAGCCCAGCCTGGTGGCTTTAAGAAGGAAAGAGGGATATAGCTCAGTAGCAGGATGCTCACCTAGCATCTACAAGGCCCTAGGTTCAGTATCTCCAATATATAAAAAAGAACAAGAAAATATCTTTCCACAAAATAAAATGACAATCCTTAATCGAATATCTGCCTAAAGATCCTTTTAATGCAATAAAAACTTGAGCTCCAGTGTGGATCTTCTTTCAGCTGACTTATTTTCAGAACTTGAAAATATTCAGGCAGTATAACTTTTACCAAAAAGATAAGCACCACACTGCTTAGCATGTGGCTGAGACAAACAAAGTCATTTTGGGAAGAACCAATGAATTTCAAAGTTGAATGTGCAAGAGGTGTTTCCTTGTGTGTTAAAAGTCACTCTAAAAATATGCCAGTACCTCAGTGTCAAGGCTTCCACAGAGCAAAACTCACTAAGGAGGTTACTCTGGACACTTCTCCTCAGACTCCAGAGATGTAAATACCCAAGGACAGGACTTACTACCAAGACTATTCTGGGTTGCAAACACAGTTCAGGGGTACAGAGCTGGCCCAGCAAGCACAAGGCCCAGCTTGAAACTCTCACATACTTATAATCCAAGAAGGGTGAAATGCAGAAATTTGCGAGATTAGCAATATCAAGTGGTGCCTCCCGAAATTTGCAAGATTAGCAATATCAAGTGGTGCCTCCCGAAATTTGCAAGATTAGCAATATCAAGTGGTGCCTCCCCAGTTCTGCTCCACTCCTGTCTGTAGACAGGACTCTGCGAGGCATGTGGCAGACTGTGCCATGCAGAAACTCCGGACAAGCCACTGTCTGATGGAGGAAGGTCATTGGCTAATAAAGGAACTGCGTTGGCCCATTTTATTGGTTAGAGGATAGGTGGGAGGAGTAAACAGAACAGGATGCTGGGAGGAAGAGGAAGTGAGCTCAGAGACTCTCGACAGCTCTCCGGAGCAGACGCCTCAGCAGAGACGCCATGCCCTGCTCCCTGGCAGACACATGCGATGAAGGTCCAACCCAGGATGGGCATAGGCTAGAATCTTCCTGGTAAGCGCACCTTGGGGTGCCATACACAGATGATTAGAAATGGGCTAAATTAATATGTGAGAATTAGCCTAGAAGAGAATGGGCCAAGCAGTGATTAAAAGAATACAGTGTCCGTGTAATTATTTCGGGGCATAAGCTAGCCGGGCAGGCGGCTGGGGTGTTGGGGACGCAGCCCCGCCGCTCATATTACTACAACTGTCCTTTCAGTAACAAGCTTCAAGAAAGTAAACCTGCCTGCCCCAGGGAATTTGAACACTAGGGACCTTGCTGTAGGAGACAGGGACACACAATAGGAGGACAAGGCCCAAGAGAACAGTTAAGTAGGAAATGTGTTCATGAGATTCACACCAGCTGCACAGCAGCACTGAGCCTGAGTGCCCGGCTGAGCAGAGACAGGAACTACATTCCCATCACCTCTAAGATGACTGCTCCCCGTCCGCATCACAGAAATACTAGGACTTGCAAAGTGACTAAGCTTTTATTCTAAGATGTCAATTACTTATTCTAGAAATATCAATTCATAACTTGAGTTTACAGTATTTTTTAACACTAGTAGATTGGTGAATAGATTAGTCATTTTCAGTTTGCTCTGACCAAAGTAATGAATACTATCTCAGTTTCAACCACAGAGAAAATTTCCCTGTTAACCTACCCCATTCCTGAACTAACTTGCAATCATGTACTTAATTTATGTTATTCACTATTTAATTAAAAATCAAACTATGAGTCAAATCTCAGTTCATATGAGGACATTTCATCACTTGAACCCAGCCTCCCTTAAATTCTGTCAAACTGCTTAAAGACTGTTAAACATAACTCCATGTTAGAGATTCTTAAATATAACTACCAGAAGAAATTTTATGTAAAAGAAAATCTAGAAACTGTACCTGAGATACCAGAATGCTTAGTGCCATCTATATTTCTGTCACATTGTGAACCCATCTGGAACCGTCATCTCCTGAGCAGACAGCTACATTCTCCTGTGCCACCCTGTCTCCACAGACCTGCAGTGTGCAACTGAACCCATCCTCTGAAGCCCCTCTGCTAACAGCAGGACACATGCTGATGACAAGTGAGCTACAGCGTTAGTAGCTGTTACAAAGACCACACAAGCCTATCTTCAAGGCCATTTCTGACAGAGGAGCTACGGGCATGGAGTCACTCCAGTGGAATGACACACAACAGTCTGTAAGGCACAGGGCCTCTCTGAAGGCAGAGGGCTAGTATACTAATGAAGAACACGCTCAGAACCACAGGACTACCCACCACAATCAAGAACTTTCTAAGGAATTAAGGA